TCCCTTTAAATTTAATGAATGAAACAGTTACAGAACATCTTTTCATGAAATACTTAGATGTCAGTCTCTTGATTAGTTGTTGTATTGACAATATGTTTTACAACAGCCTTGTTCTTGCACTGGTATATAGTAGCTGTATTACAGTGGTTGTGGTGCATTTACATGACATGAAGATTTTATTAATGTAAAGTATTATTTGCAACAAAAAATAAATAAAATAATTTGCTACCTGCACCCTTTAACCCCCTAAGGACACATGACATGTGTGACCTGTCATGATTCCCTTTTATTCCAGAAGTTTGGTCCCTAAGGGGTTAAACTCTGCAACCAACACAAACATACACTGCACCCTTCACTGCTGTATGTGTGTATATTGTATGCATGTATGGCATTTGATAGAGGTACCAATAAATTTAAGCTTAATTTTGTTAAATTGTTATGTAGGCAGGGCCCCAGTGCACTGCTTTGCCCTGGGGCCCATAATGCTGTTAAGATGGCACTGCCCTCCAGTGGTTACAGCCAGGGCCGTCTTTAACGCGGGGCAAACAGGGCAGCTGCCCCGGGCCCTGTCCCTGCTGGGGGGCCCGAGGTAACTGCCCTGTTTGCCCTCTGCCCGCAAACTATGGGGTCCCATTGGGTGGCCCATGCACTTAGGGCCACCCAGTGGGCCTGTGTCAGCAGGGGCCCGGTCGGGTGATGTGGCGCTTTAACAGCTCGACCAGGCCCTTGCTTTTCGGCAGCACTGGGAGGAAGTGACAGCCGTGCGTCACTTCCTCCCACAGAAACAATAGCCGCGCGGGAGGAAGGAGGACCAGCTGTTCCGGAGGGGGCCAGGCCGGGAGAGCTTAACTCCCAGCCACCCCAGCCAGCCCACTGGACCCCAGGGAAGCCACCCTCCAGGAAAAGGTAAGAAACTGGAGGGTGGTTATCAAATTTTGCATGAGTGTGTCAGTATCTGTGTATGTCTGTTAGTGTGCCAGTATGTCTGTCAGTGTATCTGTATGTCTGTGTGTGTGAGAGTCTGTCAGTGTCTGTGTGTTTCAGTATGTCTGTATATGTGTGTATGTCTGTCAGTGTGTCAGTATGTCAGTATGTCTGTCAGTGTGTCAGTATGTCTGTCAGTGTCTGTGTGGTTCAGTATGTATGTATGTGTGTATGTGTGTTTCAGTATGGCTGTCTGTGTGTATGTGTGCCAGAATGTCTGTATGTCTGTCAGTGTCCATGTGGTTCTGTATGTCTGTGTTTGTCAATATGTCTGTGTGTATGTGTGTTTCAGTATGTCCGTCTGTCTGTGTGTATATGTGCTAGTATGTCTGTCAATGTATCTGTATGTCAGTGTCTGTGTGGTTCAGTATGTCTTTGTGTATCTGTATTTCAGTATGGCTGTCTGTGTCAGTACGTCTGTCAGAATGTGCCTCTGTATCTGTATGTTTTCCGTTTGTGTGTGTGTGTGTGTGTGTGTGTGTGTGTATCTGTATTTGTATCTGTATATCTGCATGTGTTTTAGGTTGTGTATCTGGATGTGTGTCAGTGTGTGTGTGTGTGTGTGTGTATCTATATGTAGTCAATGGGTGTACCTTTTGTATCTGCATGTATGTCAGTGTTTATATCTGTGTGTATTTCTATGTGTGTGTCAGTGTATCTATATGTAGTCTGTGTGTATCTGTATGTTCTTGTGTGTATCTACATGCAGTCAGTGTGTATCTGCATGTGTGTCAGGTAGTGTGTGTGTGTGTATGTATGTATGTATGTATGTATATATATAGTCCCAAGTAAATGCTTGCCCAGGGTCCAATCAAAATTAAAGACGGCCATGGTTACAGCAGATAAAGGTGGAGGTTCTGGAGTGGCCATCACAGTCTCCTGACCTTAATATCATCGATCCACTATGGTGGCTTCTCAAATGTGTGGTTCATGCAAGACGACCAAAGACTTTGCATGACCTGGAGGCATTTTGCCAAGACGAATGGGCAGCTATACCACCTGCAAGAATTAGGGGCCTCATAGAGAACTATTACAAAAGACTGCACACTGTCATTGTAATTAAGGGGGAAATACAAAGTATTAAGAACAAATGGTATGCAGACTTTTGAACATAGGTCATTTCATTTTTTTACTTTATTGCCATGTTTTGTTTTATGATTGTGCCATTCTGTTATAACTTACAGTTGAATATTAATCCCATAAGAAATAAAAGAAATGTGTTTTCCCTGCTCGCTCATGTTTTCTTTAAAAATGGTCCATATATTCCCAATTCTCCAAGGGTATGCAAACAATGAGTACAACTGTAGAAGTATTGACTAATGCTTACTTATGAAAGCTCTGAATTTCACTTGAACAATTGTTCAAGCATTTTGAACCAGGAACTATGCAGACTGTCACTTATAAAAGTGACAATTTATTTTTAATGAGGGAAAAGGAGGTCACACTTAACTCAAAGCATATCTCCCAAGTGTCCCTATTTAGGAGGGACAATTCCTATTTACGGTCCAAATCCCTCTGTCCCTCTTTTCTAGGAGCTTCAAATTGTTGGAGTGTAAAATTTTATAACAGAGCTCCCCAGCAATAATACTCCCAGTAATGTGTCTGAGTGTATAACAGAGCTCCCCAGCAATAATACTCCCAGTAATGTGTCTGAATGTATAACAGAGCTCCCCAGCAATAATACTCCCAGTAATGTGTCCGAGTGTATAACAGAGCTCCACAGCAATAATACTCCCAGTAATGTGTCTGAGTGTATAACAGAGCTCCACAGTAATAAAACTCCCAGTAATGTGTCTGAGTGTATAACAGAGCTCCACAGCAATAATACTCCCAGTAATGTGTCTGAGTGTATAACAAAGCTCCACAGCAATAATACTCCCAGTAATGTGTCTGAGTGTATAACATAATGTGTCTTTAACCCCTTAAGGATGCAGGCAATTGTCCAAGTTGTGAACCAGAACAAACCCTAGAATTTTAACTATATGTGGTTCAACCATAATTTACCTCTTTCGTAATAATTCCACCCACACTTATATATCATCTTCAAGAGAAATAGGGCTTTCATTTCACATGAAATATGCATATATAAAACATTTTAAAATGAAGACAATCTCAAAGTGTGAGAAATGTTATTTCCCAAGTTCTGCATGGCATAACACTGTATACGGCTATAAAATAGTATCAAATTTTAACAGTTTTTTAATTTTATTTATTAAAAATTTTTAAACTCTCCTCAGAAATTAATGAAGAAATCATATGCAGGTAGCCATACATAAAGTAATATTTAGCAAAATGTGTGGTTTTTCAACGTGCCAAATACAGAGCACCATTTAGTGAATAAGCCCCCTTTTCATTGGAAGGACAGAAAAAAAAAAAAAAGCCATTCCCTAATCCTTGCAGAAGAAAGGTATTTCACAGCGTGAAGAAGAAAGGGGTCAGTGGCTGTGGATCGGAGTCGTGTCAGCAGCTTAGCTCATACTAATCTCATTCGCCGAACCAAGTACGTACCCGGAATTAGTCCAATCAGTAGACGATCTTGTGAAAGGCCCACCAAACGCACTTACATTGTGATAGAGCATGGAGACGGGATAGCATGCTTTTTTTTTTTTAAAGCATTTTCACATGTTAAGCAATTATGGGGAAGTTTGGGCATTTGAGTTGTCTTTACGCAAATAATAGCCTATAAATTAAGGATTAAAATCGCACCACGTCGGCCCATGTGGCAACAGGCCCACCAGTGGCATGCTGCACATAAAATAATATGTCTGCCACATGTTGCAGACAAGCTCCAGGGAAAGGGTTAGGGAGATTAGTCAGAGAGAGTTGCCTATAATTAATGTGGAGGAGCGCCAATCTGGGGTAAATAGCGGCCTCTTGATTTTTCCTCTTTATATAACAATTAATTCCTTCTAATCAGCCATTATTAAATTATATTTATTTTTAATTCATTTGCAGCACAACTTGGACATCTGGTCACTTAATTGAATAGAAATTATTTATGTAAATGAGAGAAACTTGTTGACAGAAGTGGGGAGGGCACGGAAAGAGCTGATTATCTAATGAATGAATTAGGTCAGAATAGTCAAGTCTAAATTGCAATTAGACCATTGACAGTACTGGCCCCGAGAGTTAAATCAGATTAGTGAACTCGCATAGCACCAGGATTGTGAGTGGAATCTACTAACTACCCTTTCTGCCCTGTCCCAACTTATTATTCCGAAGGCCCACCATGACACTATAAAAGCTTGGAAGACATCATATAACATGTGACATACACAGGGGCCACACCATGTCATACATAAAAGGACAAATACACTAACACACAGATATACAATAATACACAAGCTAACATACAGTAACACACATACAATAATACACGCTAACATACAGTAAGACAGACAACACTCATACCAACATACAGTAACACTGACATACAATAATACACGCTAACATACAGTAACACACGGACATACAATAATATATGCAGCGGCTTAAAGAAGTCCTCAAATTCACAATGGCATGTACTAGAGGGGATATATAGTGTAGTATATATCAAAACTTCACCTGCACTTGCAGTGCAGGAAGCTGCCTTTTACCTACAATTGTAGCACTTGGGCGGTAAAATCCCCGCCTGTGGATATGGGTCCTTTTTTCTTTCTTGGTCCAACACAGTACAGCATAGTGTAGATATACAACACAAACAGAGCACCAGGATAGTGTGGTATGTCAGGAGATCAAATTGAATAAAAAGTACGTATAATAAGAATGTGCACTCACATTTGTTGGAGCCTACACCTTAGGTGAAACGTGTTTGTGTATTATTCTTTTTTATATTAGCGCTATAATGAAGGTAATATTACTTCATATTTTCTGGACCTTCCCAATTCCTTCGCTGGTGGAGCAACATCTTCCTTGGTGGGGAATATACCACCTAAGCGAATTTAGATTGAACAAAACATTGGTTGCTCTCCCAAATGTGAGTACTTTTCTGATTGTTTAAATATATACAGTTTTCACTATATGTTGTTATGGTTTTATATCCACGGTGAGGATTTTATTTTATCTACCCATATCAGAGAGAGATTTCTGTACATATATCCTATAGTGGGGATTATTCCACCCTAGGCATTAGAAAGAGAGCTATCTGAAGGCTCCAACTAATGTGAGTGTGCATTTTTATTATACTTATTCAATTTGATCTCCTGACATACTGCACTATCCTGGTGCTTATTCCTACGCTATACTACGTTAGACCAAGGGAAAAAAACAAAAACAGATCCATATCCACAGGCAGGGATTATGCTGCCCAAGAACTACAATCGGAGCTAAAAGCCAGTACTTCACACTGTAAATAAAATTTATTTTTTTCTTCTGACGTTTTGAGTTTATATATAGAGATAGAGATATAGATATACACACACATACCCTTTCCCTCCTCTACCACCTACCATCGTGAATTTAAGGATTTTGTCCAAGGCTCTGCTCCCCCGTTTATCTCCTTTACTGCATTCTAACGACTGAAAGACTCCAGTTTGGGTGCTCAAGCTGCTTTACATCTGGATATTAAGATGCCTATTCTCTTAATTTTATACAATAATATATGCACTAACATATAGCAACACACCTCATATTGACATGCTGTAATACACAGGGCGCACGCGGGCACGCCGTAATACACAGGGCATGCCCTGAGATGCCATAGCATGCAGGCCCTACATTAAAACAGGAGGAATACACTGACATGCACAAACTCACAACAGTAACAGAATACTGGCTAGATATGTATAGATGGAGCTTGCTGGCTCTGGGCCAGTCTGGGACTCAATCCTCTCCTATTCTGTGCTCATTAAATGTGTCCCTCCTTTTCTGCTTAATAATCTGCATATTAAAATGAGTTCCCTTAAGAAGGATTTAATAATGGGCACTACATTAGAAGGTTTAACCCAATTGCTGTATAGATTGTGCTCGATGACGCTGCAGATTAGGACGGACAGCTGCTGCTGGAATAGCGCAGTTTCTTATTTTACGCTTTTCCTGCTCATTAGCATGTGGGCTATATCTCACTAAGCCCTCTCTGAATATTACAGGGTTTACGTGAAGTGGTCCAAATCTGAGGCATAAGGATTACAGACATTCAATTAAACAAAACAAGGAAACATGTTAAATGTCCACGCGTCCGCTGAGGGCGAGAACGAGTTCTACAAACCAAAGAAAATATACACAGGCTGCGTTTAGGGAGAGATCGTGTAAAAATCAGGAAAGACGCAGTTAAAAGAACAAAATACGGTTATATGTACAGTGAGATTTGGGAGGGCGTAAAGTCCACTAACACTTGCAAAATAGTTCTTGAATGCATCCTGCAACTTCTTCAAATATTGCAGTTAATATAGTAGCTCTGACATTTGTCATGCATGCGCATTAGCACCTGCACGTTGTGCTACGTCGCAATAGTACGCATAGGAAGCCATAGTTCCAGGAATAGCTTTGTATGACAGGTACTGATCGTATCCCTTTAAGGAGGCATAGTAAAACTTCAGAGGTAGAGTCTGGACAGTGACTCATCTTCAAATTATTTAGAGATTCTTCCAATCTTTAAACTTCACCAGCCACTGCTGGAGTGATGTATAACAATTGTCAATTTTCTGATGTATAAAACTGTTACAAACACCCTTTACACACACACACACACACACACACACACACACACACACACACACACACACACACACACACGACATTTTTCTGCCTTTTCTAAAGAGTGTCAAATTAATCCGTCTTGGTGGTTTTACTTTTTCCATGAAGGCGTGGTTTGAGGAGTTTGGGGTGTCCTGAACAGAGCTCTGTCCTCTACCTCACTGAACACCTCTGAGAGGAACTGAAATACAGAACGGGAGAAATACCTTCTCGGACAACATAAATGCCTTTTTGGCTAAATAGACACAAATACCCATACCGTCTAATATCTTGTGTAGAGCCTTCCCAGTTATACATCCCGATGGGGTTAGTATCTGTAGGTGTAGGATTTCACAGTGAAACACTGCACATACAGACTCCAGGTACCAGTGGCAGAACTGCTGAGGTTCCGAGTGAGACTGGCCAGTGTTCTGCTTGGAGCGCAAGAGCTGGCTGGCCATCTTAGGCCCCCCCGATGTAAGCAGCTATGCACAATGGAAGAGGGCAGCGAGGGACCTGTAGTCTTCTTGCTCTGCTACCTCGCTGGCTACTGTGAGGACGGGAATTGAAATATGCAGGCTCCTGCCTGCATAAACAGCAAGCGAGGGAACTGAGCTAGAAGACCAGGAAGATGATCACAGCAGCCCCCACTGGACCCCAAGACAGGATCTACACTAACTCTTCCAAAAGGTAGGGAGGCTAGGTGAACTTAAACTCAAATACAATTGTAATTTGTGAGTGCGGTGTCAGTATCAGTGAGAGTGTATGTATGTATGTGTGTCAGTGTATGTATGTATGTATGTATGTATCAGAGTGTGTCTGTCAATGAGTATGTGTATCTGAGCGCGTGCCCGTCAGTGAGCTGCTGGGTCAGTGTATGTATATCAGAGGGTGTGCCAGTCAGTGAGCTGCTGGGTCAGTGTGTCTGTCAGTGAGTGTATCAGAGGGTGTGCCAGTCAGTGAGCTGCTGGGTCGGTGTGCCTGTCAGTGAGTGTATGTGTATCAGAGGGTGTGCCAGTCAGTGAGCTGCTGGGTCAGTGTGCCTGTCAGTGAGTGTATGTGTATCAGAGGGTGTGCCAGTCAGTGAGCTGCTGGGTCAGTGTGCCTGTCAGTGAGTGTATGTGTATCAGAGGGTGTGCCAGTGAGCTGCTGGGTCAGTGTCTGTCAGTGAGTTTATCAGAGGGGTGTGCCAGTCAAAGTGAGCTGCTGGGTCAGTGTGTCTGTCAGTGAGTGTATCAGAGGGTGCCAGTCAGTAAGCTGCTGGGTCAGTGCGTGTCTGTCAGTGAGGGTATCAGGAGGGTGCTTTCAGGGGCTGCTGGGTCAGTGTGTCTGTCAGTGAGTGTATCAGAGGGTGTGCCAGTCAGTGAGCTGCTGGGTCAGTGTGTCTGTCAGTGAGTGTACCAGAGGGTGCCAGTCAGTGAGCTGCTGGGTCAGTGTGTCTGTCAGTGAGTGTATCAGAGGGTGTGCCAGTCAGTAAGCTGCTGGGTCAGTGAGTGTATCAGGAGGGTGTGCCAGTCAGTGAGCTGCTGGGTCAGTGTGTCTGTCAGTGAGTATAACAGAGGGTGTGCCAGTCAGTGAGCTGCTGGGTCAGTGTGTCTGTCAGTGAGTGTATCAGAGGGTGTGCCAGTCAGTAAGCTGCTGGGTCAGTGTGTCTGTCAGTGAGTGTATCAGAGGGTGTGCCAGTCAGTGTTGCCAAGTGTGTGTCTGCTCAGTGAGTGTATCAGAGGGTGTGTAGCCGTGCTGCTGGGTCAGTGTGTCTGTCAGTGAGTGTATCAGAGGGTGTGCCAGTCAGTAAGCTGCTGGGTCAGTGTGTCTGTCAGTGAGTGTAACAGAGGGTGTGCCAGTCAGTGAGCTGCTGGGTCAGTGTATGTGTATCAGAGGGTGTGCCAGTCAGTAAGCTGCTGGGTCAGTGTGTCTGTCAGTGAGTGTAACAGAGGGTGTGCCAGTCAGTGAGCTGCTGGGTCAGTGTATGTGTACCAGTGGAGGCGTATCTTTTAGTGTTTGTGTCATGTGATTTGTAATAATAATTTGTGTGTTTACACACACACATATATTGTAATTAACCCTCACAGTGTTAGGGATCTTAGCAGTCTCCCAGGGTTAGACACAACAAGATCTGGTAGTCTTTTAATACAATTTATTGTACAGTCCAATGAGGTTATATTTCCAGCAATTCCAAAACAACATCCAATAAATTCTAGCTCTCACCAAAGCACGAACTATAACACAGTCACTCCCTGGATGGCTAAATCGATTTACCAAACACAGCATGTGAAAACACCACGTTTACATATCAACCTCTTACCTCTCTGCAACCAGCAACCAAATAAAGGTTGTAAGCCTTTCTTACACTGATCATTTAACCTCTTAAGGACACATGACATGTGTAACATGTCATGATTCCCTTTTATTCCAGAGGTTTGGTCCTTTAGGGGTTAAAGACCATTTAAACTTTAATTAAAGTTAGGTGTGGGTCCTTGGTTATCCCTCACCTGTAGAGCTGCTTGCTGGGAAATGTAGTTTTTTTTTCTTACTCCCTGAAGGGGATACAGATGGTTTTGATTCTGGGACCTAAATCTCTTCCTTCGACACCCACACCTTTGACCCGGTCATACACATACATGTATTATTAATAAATGTATGTTATATTAAAGAGCATTAAATTCCATCTGTACATTGTGCTAGCAGAAATTTTAATTTAAAGAGCTTTAATTTAAAAAACAGCTGTGTCACTGTGTTACTCCCCCAGCAGGAGCTTATTGGCGGAGTATGGGAATACTCTGACGCCAGTGTGTTGGAAGTGAAGCCAGGATATAAGCATCAGCACAGGGGCTTGCTATGTTTATGGAGGGGACCCAAGCAGGACCAATCACTCAACATGCAGCCAAACCTCATATACAATCACACTCCGTCAACACAATCGGACTCAACCATTCCCCACACAGAATCACACTCAGCCACCGCACATATCCCACTCAGATGTACTGCTTAGGGGAAGCAAGGAGGGCGGTAACGGGACCTTCCTTTGATTCTTCCACCAGGGTCCTGTGATTCCTAGTTATGCCCCTCCCAGGCAACATGATCACTTCCAATCCATGAAGTGGTTATGGTGCTTGGAATAACCATTTTAAGCCCATAGTTTTGAAATGGGATGTCCAACATGCTCATATGGACGTGACAGTCGATTATCCATATAGTATATAAAGATTCTTACAGGGCCATTTACTAGAGTGTGAATGGTTAGGGTTCAAAGTGAATTTCAAATTTTTAGACAAAAATCTAAACTCTGCAGGTCAGTTATGTTTCCAGCTTGGCTATATTTATTTTGGACTAACATTTGAAGTTCCAACAACTGTATGTCTCAAGGCGAAAGGTGATACGTTCTTGGGGTAAGTGGCAATTTCCTCACAGTGTTTGATGGCTTTGGAAAGAGTGAAACATGAACTTTGTTATTCCTCTATATTCAGGCTCCATGGAGGGGATATATTCTTCATAATCCTGAGCTCTGTGATCAATCACCCAGCGTCAATCCACCCACCGGCAGAGCTCAGTGATCAAACACCCGGCAGCAATCCACCCACCTGTAGAGCTCTGTGATCAAACACCCAGCGTCAATCCACCCACCGGCAGAGCTCTGTGATCAAACACCCGGCAGCAATCCACCCACCGGCAGAGCTCTGTGATCAAACACCCAGCGTCAATCCACCCACCTCAGAGCTCTGTGATCAAACACCCGGCAGCAATCCACCCACCTGTAGAGCTCTGTGATCAAACACCCGGCAGCAATCCACCCACCTGTAGAGCTCTGTGATCAAACACCCAGCGTCAATCCACCCACCTTCAGAGCTCTGTGATCAAACACCCAGCAGCAATCCACCCACCTGTAGATCTCTGTGATCAAACACCCGGCAGCAATCCACCCACCTGTAGAGCTCTGTGATCAAACACCCGGCATCAATCCACCCACCGGCAGAGCTCTGTGATCACACATTGCACCCAGCCATTTGCAGAGCTGCACATTAACACACTGATCCCATCCAACCACCTGCAGAGCTCTATGGTCACACAGCACCAACTCATCCAGAGCTTTGTGAACATATTCAACTGATTGTAGAAGTTTGTGAACACACTGCACCCACCTGAAGAGCTCCATGATCAGTAATTTAGAATACAGTTGCAGGTAACAGTTTAAAGGAACACTCTAAGCTCCATTGTAGCATCCCGGTATGCAATACCATCTCCCTCATTCTGGGTTCTCTCATAATTAACTATGTAGGCCTGCAAAATCGCTCCTTTTATGAAAAAAAATATTAAATAAGTAACAAGGCACTACTTCCACTAAATAGCAGAATATTTTAATAGTTGTAGACACTGGCCCCCAATCACAGTCAAGCCTAGGATGCTTCAGGAGCCCACTGCTCTGCCGGTCTTCTACGATATCAATAAAGTTCAATTCATTGGCTAAAAGACATTTTGCACATTTAATAAATGAGGTCGAAAGATTTACGAAAGTAGAATGGGAACATCTGCTTTGACTATATTTTAAAAGAAGAAGAAAAAAAAAAAAAAAAAAAGTATCGTTTGCAACCAAGGTTAGTGTCAAACTGTTTAAAAAAATTTTGGCTTCTTACTGTGAGGAGGCACCAGTGGACTTTTTGCACCATAACCACTACAGAGGTGCATAGAGTGCCACGTTAGGTAAAGAAATTTAAGTTCTTGAACTAGCAAAACTTTGATAGCCATTTCATAGACTAATATAGCAACCATAAAACTTGTTCTTAAACAGTTTTGAAAAATATGCTTTTAGATTGTAACTGGACAATTTGCAAATATCTCTTTAATTTGCACATTGTTCAAAGTAATGATTTCTGTTCAGGAAAGTTTAAAATTCACAAAAACGTTTTAGCTGCCTCTTTACTAAGAGTGGCTGTGCTTTAATGCGGTCTGGGGAGCAACACCCATCCTGGGTCCTCTCATATGGACAGAGTTAGAAAATGAACGATCGCCATAACACGTCCACAGTCAATTCTCTTAATGATCATCCACTCAGTCACTTCTTCACCTTCTCCAAGATATTGAGGAACTTCCCACGGGTCATCTCTCGAGCTGGAAGAGATAAGACAGGAGCGGTCGTTATTTCAGGCCAAGTGCACGACTCAGGTGGAAAACGATTTCCCGTCTCTTATAACACACAATATTATAAAGATTAAAAGGACAGTGTACACATAAAAACACAGTTTGGAATTTTACAAAGCTTCTTAGAATCACCTATTTCCGCAAACAAAAATGGGGATTCAGGTCTGGCTTCACTCAAGGCTTTATACGGTATAGATAATATATTACAAATGTAGAGAAAAACTTAATAAAGCATGCGGACATTGTGACGTTCCAACATTTAGTAGAGTTTACAATCCAGCCTACTATGTCTCTCCCAAAGCTTTCTGTGGGTGCCCTGTATATATTGCTTTATTGCATGGGTGGATCATAACTGCAATTTTACTGTAATTTTTTTAATGAATGTCCCACTCAGAGAAGCACCACAGTCCCTAAAACTCATTGTAGTGGATATGGTATAACGTTTCTTCCTGGTTAGTGGCAAGTTGTTTTTGACTAAAAATCATGCGCTCCCTGCGCCCAAATCCCAACCCTTCCACTGCTGCTCAGCTAATGTCAAGGCCACAAGGACACCGCAGGTCCATGATGTTAAGATGCTAAGAGAGGCCAAGTTATTGTAAAACTGCGCCAAAGGTCATACCATAAACCTACAATAACACCCACAGCTCCTTTACACCATAACCACTACACTGAGCTGTACTATTTGGGGTACTTCTGATAAAGTCGTGGCTCTCCATAATGTATTCGCAGTGGGATTCCTCCAGGCCCAATATAGCTCAGCGAACACATTCACCGATTTAGCTTACACTTAGCATTAAAAGGCCCCATGATGATCTCTATTTCCGGTCTTCTCTGTTCTTCTTCACATTAAGGAGGCTTACAGAACAGAACCCGGGTCCCCCGCCCTGTCCCCTCTCCCTCCCAAACCTGGCGAGATTGTTTAGCAATGCCAGGCGCGCTTTTAATTTGCAAGACGTCAGACACAGAGGTAATTTATACCAACATCTGTTCATTTCAGACTCCTGAAACAAATTCACACATGCTGCTCCCAAATCCCATTAGAGGCCGTGTTGTGTATTCCCGGGGTAGAGCGCACGGCTCTCAGCATGAAATATGACGGGAAGTCCAGTCTGCTCCACACAGGCACCTCCTCCAGCGCTGCCCACTGCCCATTCCAGTGTAAATTACACCACCACCGCTTCTCACCTCCTCCACTGATCAGCCAGCACAACGTCACAGCATCTATTCAATTACCAGGAGTCTAACAGCAGTGTGTGAATATACCCAGCGCTGTGCAACACACACACTCACACACACGGGGAAAATAGACAGCACAGTGCAACACACACACACACACACACACACACACACACACACACACAGGGGAAAATACACAGCGCTATGCAACACACACACAGGAGAAAATACACAGCGCTGTGCAACACACACACACAGGAGAAAATACACAGCACTGTGCAACACACACAGGGGAAATACACAGCATTGTACAACACACAGCACTGTACAACACACACAGGGGAAAATACACAGCGCTGTACAACACACACGGGGGATAATACACAGCGCTGTACAACACACACACACACACACACAGGGGAAAATACACAGCGCTGTACAACACACACGGGAAAATACATAGCGCTGTGCAAGACACACAGGGGAAAATACACAGCGCTGTGCAACACACACAGGGGAAAATACACAGCGCTGTGCAACACACACAGGGGAAAATACACAGCGCTGTGCAACACACACAGGGGGAAAATACACAGCACTATGCAACACACACGGGGGAAATACACAGCATTGTACAACACACACAGGGGAAAATACACAGCGCTGTACAACACACACACACAGGGGAAAATACACAGCGCTGTACAACACACACACACAGGGGAAAATACACAGCGCTGTGCAACACACACAGGGGAAAATACACAGCGCTGTGCAACACACACAGGGGGAAAATACACAGCACTATGCAACACACACGGGGGAAATACACAGCATTGTACAACACACACAGGGGAAAATACACAGCGCTGTACAACACACACACACAGGGGAAAATACACAGCGCTGTACAACACACACACACAGGGGAAAATACACAGCGCTGTGCAACACACACAGGGGAAAATACACAGCGCTGTGCAACACACACAGGGGGAAAATACACAGCACTATGCAACACACACGGGGGAAATACACAGCATTGTACAACACACACAGGGGAAAATACACAGCGCTGTACAACACACACACACACAGGGGAAAATACACAGCGCTGTACAACACACACACACAGGGGAAAATACACAGCGCTGTACAACACACACACACACACACACACAGGAGAAAACACACAGCGCTGTGCAACACACACAGGAGAAAATACACAGCGCTGTGCAACACACACACACAGGAGAAAATACACAGCGCTGTACAACACACACACACAGGAGAAAATACACAGCACTGTGCAACACACACACACAGGAGAAAATACACAGCACTGTGCAACACACACATACACGAGAAAATACACAGCGCTGTGCTATAGACACCAGGTTGATATACCCAGTGCTATCTAAAATACACCAGGGGTATACAAAGTGCCGTGCAATATAAACCAGGGGGTATACACAGTGCCATGCAATATAAACCAGGGGGTATACACAGTGCCGTGCAATATAAACCAGGGGGTATACACAGTGCCGTGCAATATAACCCAGGGGATATACACAGTGCCGTGCAATATAACCCAGGGGGTATACACAGTGCTGTGCAATATACACCTGGGGGATATACACAGTGCCATGCAGTATTCCCCAAGGAGATATACACAGTGCCATGCAGTGTACACCAGAGGGTTATACAAGTGTTGTGAAATGTACACTAGAGGGGTATACAAGTGCAGTACAATATACAAAATGGAGATATACTGCTATATGGTGCAATATAGTCAGAACGTATGGATGTCCTGTGTTGTATAGGGGTGGGGTAAGGATGTTTGGTGTTGTCCCTGTACGGGCTGAGATGGTGCCGGAGATGAATAATTTTCTCCATGGTGGCTATAAAGGGAGCTCTGTGGATTGTAATTTAGGAGGATGTAAGTGGACAGAATACTAATGAATGAAGCACTGATGGTGGCTTCACCTTGAGACGTCCATCACTGGGTTAAACATGATGCTAATTGAATTTAGATTGATTAATTTCACTCAGTCCTGTCTATTCGAATAACGCTTAACAAAATAATCAGAGCTACTGAAACCCAGATTGTATCCAGCAAGGATCTTTATGGAGAAAGCGGTTATAATTACTGCATCAGAATACAGAAAAAGGAGAACAAGAGGCAGAGAGCAATAGGGAACATAGTGGAGAGAGAAAGGGGCAAAGAAAGAATTGGGAACATTGGGAAGAGGAACGAGGGCAGAGATCGGTAGCAGGTACATAGAAAGCAATGATGGAGAAAGTGGGAGAGAAAGAATTGGGAACATTGGGAAGAGGAACGAGGACAGCGATAGGTAGCAGGGACATAGAAAGCAATGATGGAACAAGGGGGAGAGAAAGAATTGGGAACATTGGGAAGAGGAATGAGGGCAGAGATAGGTAGCAGGGACATAGAAAGCAATGATGGAGCAAGGGGGAGAGAAAGAATTGGGAACATTGGGAAGAGGCACGAGGGCAGAGATAGGTAGCAGGTACATAGAAAGCAATGATGGAGCAAGGGGGAGAGAAAGAATTGGGAACATTGGGAAGAGGAACGAGGGCAGAGGTAGCAGGTAGGCAATAGCAGGTACATAGAAAGCAATGATGGAGCAAGGGGAGAGAAAGAATGGGAGAGGGCAGAGATAGGTAGCAGGTACATAGAAAGCAATGATGGAGCAAGGGGGAGAGAAAGAATTGGGAACATTGGGAAGAGGCACGAGGGCAGAGATAGGTAGCAGGGACATATAAAGCAATGATGGAGCAAGGGGGAGAGAAAGAATTGGGAACATTGGGAAGAGGAACGAGGGCAGAGATAGGTAGCAGGGACATAGAAAGCAATGATGGAGCAAGGGGGAGAGAAAGAATTGGGAACATTGGGAAGAGGAACAAGGGCAGAGATAGGTAGCAGGGACATAGAAAGCAATGATGGAGCAAGGGGGAGAGAAAGAATTGGGAACATTGGGAAGAGGAACGAGGGCAGAGATAGGTAGCAGGTACATAGAAAGCAATGATGGAGCAAGGGGGAGAGAAAGAATTGGGAACATTGGGAAGAGGCACGAGGGCAGAGATAGGTAGCAGGTACATAGAAAGCAATGATGGAGCAAGGGGGAGAGAAAGAATTGGGAACATTGGGAAGAGGCACGAGGGCAGAGATAGGTAGCAGGGACATAGAAAGCAATGATGGAGCAAGGGGGAGAGAAAGAATTGGGAACATTGGGAAGAGGAACGAGGGCAGAGATAGGTAGCAGGGACATAGAAAGCAATGATGGAGCAAGGGGGAGAGAAAGAATTGGGAACATTGGGAAGAGGAACGAGGGCAGAGATAGGTAGCAGGTACATAGAAAGCAATGATGGAGAAAGGGGGAGAGAAAGAATTGGGAAGAGGAATGAGGGCAGAGATAGTGAGCAGGGACATAGAAAGCAATGTTGGAGCAAGGGGGAGAGAAAGAATTGGGAACATTGGGAAGAGGAACGAGGGCAGAGATAGGTAGCAGGGACATAGAAAGCAATGATGGAGCAAGGGGGAGAGAAAGAATTGGGAACAGGAATGAGGGCAGAGATAGGTAGCAGGGACATAGAAAGCAATGTGAAGCATGATGGAGTTTGTTTTATCTAATAGAAGATCAGCCCTGGGTTAAGTCCAACTGGAGACCAGAAATATTCTTTAAATAGATGAGGTGAGAATAATATTATTGCCATCGACCCAAGCTGCAGGACATGAATCTGTAACTACCAGATGATATCTGACAATTACATAGTGTGGCTGGTTATCCTGAAATTACATATTTTAAACTCTCAATGGTAATTAGTGATAATAAAAAGGTGCTAAGATCATGTGGTGC